TCTTTGTAAAAAAAAGCTCAAACCCTAACGCACAAAAAAGACACCAACAAAACCAACTTTTAATACTTACTGGAACCAGTTTTGGTTTCCAATTTGCGACTAGTTCAAACTTAAACTCTCTCCAAACTCATTTTGTTAGCCCTAAAGGTAGAATTTCTTTTCTGGAAAAGCCTTCAACATATAAAATTCATTAAAAGATTGCAGTAGCAAATATATTGGACAAACCAATCGCTCTATACAAGTTGGTTTAAAAGAACATTTAACTCATCCCAGGTTTGAATCCAGACTCTAATCAATTCTAGTGTTTATAATGCTTACCTTATTAAAAGTCTTTAGTTCTCTTCAGCTCCTGAAGAAGGTGTCTTTGTCACCGAAAAATACTTCAAATGTTCAGTGTCGTTGGGGTTTGAGTTTTTCAGTGTTCTGCTCTTCTAGATTGAAAGATAACGTTATGCAATTTCAGAAATCACCCGACCAAAAACCAACAACAGTTTTACCAGGAAGAGTTTAGAAGAATGCATCAAGACTTTTTTAATTTCAAGGTAAACGAGCGCTATGATAGACGAAAGACAGAACAGGAAAGAGAAAATGACGAAAGGTAAGTAAATGGAACACAGATTACTCCCCTTCCCTTTAAAATAAAAATATAAATAACTAAAAATGTACTATTGTTTTCACCAGATATTATCAGCCATATCCAGAACCAATGAGGTCGTCAGAAAAGTCTTACAATTCCCGAAACCACCAGGACGACGGCTACATTGAAAATACAGAGAGAACATCAGCAAAGAGACCGGAACTGAGGCAGAGAACACCGTCCCCGTTGGAAAATGTATCCCCTAAGGATCGATTCAAAGATGCCAAGGAGAAGTTTCTACTGATGGAGAAAGAAAGGCTGGAACAGGAACGAATTCGGGGCGTTGTGGAACCCCCCATATCTCCCACCAGGCGAGACAGAGGGGGTTACTGCAAAGACGAAGTCCCCACAAGTCCCACGAAAAGATACAATCACTTTGAAATGCAAGAAAAAGAAAAATATTTTGGCAGTGACAGGTAAGAATTCTTTTATTTTTTTATTTATTATTATTTGAGGTCAGTGTCGTGGGATGCTTTATACCCCTCTGACTTCCTGGATGTCAAAATTCGGCGACTCCTTCCAGTTTTACGGCTCCTATTCTCTGATCCTAATACTTTTAATACTGTCAACTCCCTACAAATCGATATTTTTGATTGCTTTTGATGTATTTTACTTTTATTATTTGAGGGAAAGAAAATAAATTCAAGTTTTCCCATTTTATTCGATTGATTATTGAATTTCTGACTATTATACGTTTGCAAATTGACTTATTTACAAAATTCTATATTACTTTGTGAATGATCTATATTTCGCTTGATTTCAATAGGGGATCGGTCTATATTTCTATTGAGTACGTGCGTTTTTCCCACCATTGACGTCAGATAAGTCATTCTTTAATATTGGCCTCATTAATGGGCGTTATATTGGTAACGTTTATCATAGGTTAAAGGCCCAACAAGTCGGTAAGTTAGTTTAATGTAAAAGCTAATATTTGGGTAATAATTTGAATATTTTGGAAAAAGTTAATCATTCTATTACTTTATTAATACGTGTATTTGCGAAGAAAGTTATAAACAACGAACAACATTACAGAAATATTAAACTAGAAATTTAAGTGTTTACGTTAGGGTCGAATTTTGAAAATTTCTTGCTGTTGCCAAAACTTTTCGTACACATTTACAATTACGGTAATATTTTGTTGCTATTTTAATAGGTCAAGTGTCTTTTACTTCGTTCATTTTTTTATCTAAGTCCCTTCCTCATCCTCTAATATTATCTCATGTTCCTTAAAATTTTCTTCAGACCTCTCAACCTAACGTCATCTTCATTCACCAACTCACAGGATTTTCCCCATGTTCCACCATTCTCACATCCTCCTACCACATTTCCTTCCGCTTCCTTTTCCAAAAGTTATCCTCTAAATTCATTCTTCGTCCTTAATCTTGCCATTACACTTTTTTCCTTCGCCCTTTACGAATACCTTGGTACCCAGTCACCCTGCCAGTCCCTCCATATTATCTCTTTCATACCCAGCACATACCTAGACCATTCTATTTTTCCTAAATCTCCTCTAATCATATCTTTGGATCTATTCCTCACCAAATCCCATGTCCCTACTTTTGTCCCTTGCTTAAACTACTCTCGAACCTGCTCTTGTTTGAAGCTTAAAATTTCCAATGATCCTTCCCTTTCTCTGTTATATCTAATTTGTGCCCTAATTTCCATTACCTTTCTCTTCCATACTTCCTATCTTGTATCTTCTTCGTCTAGCCTCTCTAATCTCTCCTCATATTTTACTACCCCTTTTATTGCTTCCTCCCACATCTTCCCACTATATTCGATTGATTATTGAAATTTTAACGTATTAGAGGCTCGCTAATTGACTTATTTATAAAATTCTATATTACTTTGTGAACGATCTATATTTCGCTTGATTTCAATTGGGGATCGGTCTATATTTCTATTGAGTACGTGCGTTTTTCCCACTATTGACGTCAGATAAGTCATTCTTTAATTTTGGCCTCATCAATGGGCGATATATTGGTAACGTTTATCATAGGTTGAAAGCCCAACAAGTCGGTAAGTTAGTTTAATGTAAAAACTAATATTTGGGTAATAATTTGAATATTTTGGAAAAAGTTAATCATTCTATTACTTTATTAATACGTGTATTTGCGAAGAAAGTTATAAACAACGAACAACATTACATAAATATTAAACTAAAATTTAAGTGTTAACGTTAGGGTCAAATTTTGAAAATTTCTTGCTGTTGCTGAAACTTTTTGTACACATTTACACTTACAGTAATATTTTGTTACTATTTTAATAGGTCATGTGTCTTTTACTTGTTTTTTTTTTCATCTAAGTCCCTTCCCCATCCTCTAATATTATCTCATGTTCCTTAAAATTTTCTTCAGACGTCTCAATCTAACGTCATCTTCATTCATCAACTCACTGCATTTTCCCCATGTTCCACCATTCTCACATCCTCCTAACAGTTTTGTTTCAGCTTCCTTTTCCAAAAGTTATCCTCTACATTCATTCCTTGTCCTAAATCTTGCCATTACACTTTTTTCTTCCCCTCTTACGAATACCTTGGTACCCAGTCACCCTGTCAGTCCCTCCACATTATTTCTTTCATACACACCACATACCTAAACCTTTCTATTTTGCTTAAATCTTCTCCTCTTATCACATCCTTGAATCTATTCAATACCAATTCTCGTGTCCCTGCTTTTATTCCTCCCTTAAACCACTCTCGGACCTGCTCCTGTTTGAATTTTAAAATTTCCAATGCTCCTTCCCTTTCTCTATTATATCTAATTTGTGCCCTAATTTCCATTACCTTTTTCTTCCATACTTCCTATCTTATATCTTCTTCGTCTAGCCTCTTCAATCTCTCCTCATATTTTACTACCCCTTTTATTGCTTCCTCCCACATCTTCCCACTATATTTCGATTGATTATTAAAATTTTAATGTATTAGAGGCTTGCTAATTGACTTTTTTATTAAATTGTAAATTACTTTATGAACGATCTATATTTCGCTTGATTTCAATAGGGGATCGGTCTATATTTCTATTGAGTACGTGCGTTTTTCCCACTATTTACGTCAGATAAGTCATTCATTAATTTTGGCCTCATCAGTGGGCGATATCAGGGGTTGAAAGCCCAACAAGTCGATAAGTTAGTTTAATGTAAAAACGATTATTTGGGTAATAATTTGAATATTTTGGAAAAAGTTAGTCATTCTATTACTTTATTAATACGTGTGTTTACGAAAGTTATAAACAACGAATATAGTATGGAAATATGGTAAATTTTACTTTTAATTACCCAAAAATTTGGGTGTTAACGAGGACGCCCTTCTTTTTTGTTTTATTTGTTTAGAACTGTTTTCCATTTTGTTAATTGTTTGTTACTGTTTTCTTTTGTTTGGAACTTGTTCTGTTTTTGTTTTAATTGCTTCAAACTATTATCTTTTTTGTTTTAATTGCTTGCAACTGTTTGTCCTTTTTCGTTTGTAATTGTTTACATCTTTTTTTTATTTTTTAAGGTATGATTGTGAGGACGTGATATTCCCAAAGCCAGCTCCACGCAAACACGCACCGCATCAGGAAGTGGGCGTCCGAAGGAGCGCCGAGGCGCCAGTCGAACGATACCGGATGGCCGATAAATACGATCCGAAACGTAGGTCAATGTTCAATTTAACAGAAGAGGAGCATAGACGCACCTGTAACGAAATAGCGAAAGAATTGAAGAGGAAAAGTTACATGGATTATAATAACGGACCAGTAACATATGACGAAGAAGTTTTTAGGGAAGCTGATAGGGCGTTTCATGAACTTCCAGAAAGTGAAAGGTAAATTTAAATTCTGTTTCTATTTATTTTTTCTTCTTAGTTTTTAATCATTCCCTGGGACTTTCAGAAATAGGATTAATTAATAAATTAATTTTGGAAACTTAAAAGTAATTCCTTTTATTTCCAGATACACCAGACTAGATCAGCAGCAGTTCTCCAGGTCCTCTGCTGATTTGGATCGATTAGGCGAGATTAAATCCCAGATTAATCACGATTCCCGTTTCCTAAAGAACCAGAAGGGGAAGAATCGTCACAGCTACGCCGAGCCCAAGCTTAGAACTGACCGGAACAACATTAACAGGAAACAATACCCGGAAATGGTACAGAGGACCAACAGCTCCCTCTCCAACAACGGAAGAGTTGGACTGGCCAGTGTACACCCTTATTAATCAATCAATCAATTAATTAATATGTGTTTTTTTGTTAGACATTTTGAACTTTCTTAAAATGATGCTACATTTTTTTCATTTTAATAACTAAAATATTTTATCTTTCACCTGACAATAGTAAATTGTTATTTTTGAGCGCTTTATCTAAGTTGTTTTCATTTTTTTGCAACAGTTGTTTCCTTAATATGCAGTTCTTGCATCTGCTGTTTTTTAATATCCATTTGTTTTGCAACTTTTGTTTTTTAAACTTAATTTTTGTAACTTTTGTTTTTTAATCTTCATCTTTTTGCAACTTTTGTTTCATAAACTTCATTGTTGAACTTTTGTTTTTTAATCTTCATTTGTTTTGTAACTTTTTGTTTTGAACTTCGTTTTTCTAATCGAGCTTTTAATTACCGGTGGTAATTGCTGTTTTAATGTCTGTTCCCGATACAAAATTGCCCCAGTTTTATATGCTAACGGTAATGAGTTATTTATTGTTTAAAGTTAATTAATTAATTAAACTTATTACTGCTGAATGCTATATCTGGGATAATTTTACATTCGGAAAAGGCAATCAAAGGGCAATTCTCTAAGCTTTCACACTGTAATTAAAAATTTTATACTTGTGCCAACTAATGCATTCATGTACAGTGTTTTTTAATAGTCAATATTGATAAGATAATTACTGGGACCAATTAATAGACATACATAATCATTCCTATCACTACAACGATTTGTTTTTAATATATTTGCTGTAAATAATAATTAATTCATCAGACAAAATTCTCTGTGTACACGTAAGTTATTATTATCTTTATGTATTTTAATTAATTAACATGTAATAATGATAATAATAAAAAAAAACAATATGCAACAACGACTGCCTATTGTTTCTTTCTGTACTTTTTGAAGAGGATAATAAAAACAAATGAGTTACACTATTTTATTAATTGTAGTGATTAATACGTAGGTGTAATAAGTATTGTGACATTGCTTTTATTAACAATTATTACCTAATTTTATTGTACACCTTGTTTTTGTGTTTTATAATCCGTTAAACAATCAATATATTGATTTTTCGAACGTATTTTGTTTAATAAATAAATAATTAGGTAATAATAATAAATGCAAAACGAAAATAAAACAAATGTTCCTTTACAATAAAAAAAAGTGAAACAGTGAAATATTTGCAAGGCAGGAAGAGAAGAACAATGAGAAAAGTAAGTATAAATTTNACCTGTGGCATACTTTATTTTTTTAAGAAAATGGTTATTTATGGTGTTTTTAGGTACTTTTTGGCAAAAATCGATCCAGGTAAATGAACCAAAATCGAACGATTCAAACAGTCAAGCAAAAATTTTCAACTCGATTCGTTCGATTTTGGTTCATTTACGTGGATCCAGTTTTGACAAAAAGTACGTAAAAACACCGTAAATAACCATTTTTTTTTTAAAATAAAGCATGCCACAGTAAGCTCTTGTCAATTACTAAGTAATTATCCATATCAGATTTCATTTACTGGCGAATTAAGCAAAAAATTTGCACTAATGTTCTATTTCGGTTCCCAAAAAAAACCCATGTATAGCTACCTGTCGATTGTTTTTGGGAACCGAAATAGAACACTAGTACAAAAGTTTTGCTTAATTCGCCAGTAAATGAAATCTGATATGGCTAATTAATTAATAATTGATAAGAACTACCTGTGGCATACTTTATTTTTTTAAGAAAATGGTTATTTATGGTGTTTTTAGGTACTTTTTGGCAAAAATCGATCCAGGTAAATGAACCAAAATCGAACGATTCAAACAGTCAAGCAAAAATTTTCAACTCGATTCGTTCGATTTTGGTTCATTTACGTGGATCCAGTTTTGACAAAAAGTACCTAAAAACACCATAAATAACCATTTTTTTTTAAAAATAAAGCATGCCACAGTAAGCTCTTGTCAATTACTAAGTAATTATCCATATCAGATTTCATTTACTGGCGAATTAAGCAAAAAATTTGCACTAATGTTCTATTTCGGTTCCCAAAAAAAACCCATGTATAGCTACCTGTCGATTGTTTTTGGGAACCGAAATAGAACACTAGTACAAAAGTTTTGCTTAATTCGCCAGTAAATGAAATCTGATATGGCTAATTAATTAATAATTGATAAGAACTACCTGTGGCATACTTTATTTTTTTAAAAAAATGGTTATTTATGGTGTTTTTACGTACTTTTTGGCAAAATTCGATCCACGTATATGAACCAAAATCGAACGATTTAAAACGTTAAAGCAAAAATTTTCAACTCGATTCGTTTAGGGGTGTTTTTTAGGTATTTTTCGGTCAAGGTCCATGCATTTATAGGAATTTAAATCGACGGAAGATTTTTAAATTTAGTGTTATTATTATTACCGCTTAAACTTTAGTAGCTGTTCGGAAAACATCTGTAATATGATTGAAACCTGTAATTTGGATATAATAATATTTGACTACCGGTCGCGAGATGTCGCTCCGGTTACGAGAAATACGAGGGACGCTCTACAATTCGATAACTAAAATACAAGGGATAATCGCAAAGTAACGTAACTATTTAATTATTTTTATGTACAGTATTATATTACAAAAACTATTAATATACTTACCTAAAATTTTTTTTATCAGTAGTAGTGGTTTTTGTCCAATAACTCTTAATTATAAACCCTTGAATAACTTATAAGAGATTTACTTAATCTCGTATCAGCTTTTAATGAAGCGAATTAACTCTCGCTTGTCTTATTTTTCTCAAAAAATTATATTTTTTGCTGTTTTTTACGTATTTTTACCAAAAATAAAGCCAGCCACAGCTATTTTTTATCATTTATTGATTAATTACCAATAGTAGTTGTCGTTTACTGATGAATTAAGCGAAAAATTTGAATCCCAAAACCTTTTTGCTGACGATAAGGTAAAACTTTGAATGATTGATGTAACTCTATGCATTTTTACACAATTTTCTGCAAGTATTATCAAGAAGAAGGAAAAAAAAAACACCACTTACATAACAAAATTTACTTCAATTCAATATTTATCCTTTACAATTTAATCTTAAATTAATATTAACTGATGCTAATTGCGTAATAAAAAACTTAAAAATGTAGGGAACTTCAATTTCCCTTATATTAGCCCCAGTACCACATAATGAACAAGTTTCTTTGGTTTCTGCCAAGTCAGGCTTATCTGTCATATGAACAACAACAGTAATAGGCCCAAGTAAAGTACCACAGGAAGTGCAAATAAAGGCCTTAAAGAAAAAAAAAAAATCATATTTACACATCAGTCATTGTAAACACATGAACTCAAATGCAAGCTGATTTTTACTTTCTGGTTATAATAATAAAATTTCAAGTAAATACTGAAATCAATTAGTTTTTTAATTAAAATTTTATCTCAAAGTTTATCATTTCTCAACTGCACTTTTCTATATTGATCTTAAACAGATGCAATTTTTATTTTAATAGGTTCAAAAATATCTAATTATATCGATTACTAATTTCAAGTAGAAGTACAATTTTTATCAAAACTCTTCTATTTGTTTAGCATAAATTATTCAATATACTGGACACCAAATTAATGAATACAAAAATTAATATCAGTCCTTAATAACAAATTTTCGAAAATTAACTACATAATTGCATTTAATTAACATATTACGGGAACTCTCTTAATAAAACGTTTTTCTTTTTTTATTGACCATTTTAAAACATTAAAAGTTTCTTCATTATAAAATAACAAAAACAAATGTACTTACAAACGATTTGTCAGAGCAGTGGAACAGCCTGTCTTGCAGAAGGAACGAAGCTCCATGACTGATAAGGGAATCACGTTCCATCTCGCCAAAACGTACTCCTCCGCCCCTCCTTCTTCCTCCCACAGGTTGTCTCGTTGCCACGTCTATAGGTCCTGTTGTACGTACCTAAAAACAAAAAACACACCTTTTAATTACAAAAAATACCTGATGACTGAGTATAAATTTTTATATTTAATTTTGAAAAATCTGATAATGTATATAAATTCATTTTATTACAATAATTATATCCTGTATGTATATGCCAGACTTTCCTGACCTGGGGTCCAAGGACCTCTTAGTGGCCATTCATTTATAATTCAATTTAAAAATTTTGAAATTTTCATAGGGGCTGCAATAATAATGTAAACTGTAATTTATCTGTAAAAAAATTACATTAACCATTACATTTGTACAAAAAGGTTAAGGAAACCTGGCATACCCAATCAAATATGTGAGGAAATGCGAGCCTAGAGAGAGAAACATTAAGAAAATTCCTACTCACCTGCCATTTATCGGACACCATGTGCCTGAGTCTTTGATAGTGAACAATTCCAAAAAAAATCTGGGACGTCATCTCCCGCCCATCAATGCCGGAATACATGGTCTCTGTGCCATAATAATTGTAACCACCTGTTAACAAAAACAAAACTAATAAACGAGTGAATAAAAATAATTATGAATTCAATTAATTAATAACTTAGTGAGATATAAGAAACAATACTTTAAATTTTATTACCAATCTCTAACAGTCTTCCAAAGTAATCGATAGCAGTGTCCTCTTCAGAGAACTTGAAGGGGGACGCATCATGAACCAGACCGTGAAGAGCCGCAGATTTGCCGGCCATCACTTCAATCATCATGGCGATTGTCATACGTGATGGAAAACCGTGAGGATTGAAGACAATGTCAGGTATTAATCCTTAAACAGAAATAATACCACGATCAGTTACAGTTGCAATAACAAGAATAAAAAACAGTTTATTCATTTTCTATTATATTTAAATAGTTCTTCCCCCCTATCAGTCACTATGAGTTCAAAACTGTTAGCACCATTGCTTCGAGTGGTCGAAATTCACTTTTGTGAACAATTTGTTTAATTACTTTCTTTGTGTTAAAAATTGTTTAAAAAATTAAA